CGGTGATGCTGACTAGTTTGTTTCAAAAACGCTTTTAATGTGAAGTCACGTGGAACTCGACTGAAAAATTAAGCTCACCCTTTCTTAATCAATGGTTTGATACCGTAAGTACCAATTTAGGTACATCATCGGGCTTTGATCACAATAATGAAAAAAAAAATGTGCGTTTCCCCACGCTCGCTACATTTATTCTTTAGAAAATTATTTTACTGGAGGGCGATGTCACTTAGCTTGGTGCGTCTTAACTCTGGCCGACGAAAATTATCGAGGTGAACCCCATGAAATTCTTGTCAAATGTTTTATAAACTTTGTCTACCCTTGATTTGCACGCAAAAAAAGGCAAATTCTGAACGATATTTCAAAATATTTTATTCACCGGTCAATTTATGACCTGTTTTATAACAACCCGAGGAAAAAGCAAAATTGTTTGTAAGGAGTTTGTAAGTTCATTTTCCCCAGTAAATTTAAGAGAGGGTCAATTTTTTGTGACAGCCGAAAACAGACATCTCTGAAAAGTCTCTGAAACTCTTAAAGAATTCACACTGCCGGTAATATTTTCCTCCCTCTCGCAACAGCGCAACAGACATTGTTAATCCTGTGTAGTGTAGGTGTATCAGTTGTATCACTTCTTCATAGTGATGTCATATAAGTAATGGAGTGTCTAGAAAGCTCTCAATTCTCGCGCTGGCCAGGGACGGCAACACCTCACACCTCTAAACTCGTGGGTGTGCAGCATAAAAAAAAAAACATTTGAGAGGCGTCAATGCATCCCAAACATGTGTTTCGTCCGAAAAGAAGCTTATTCTAGCGCGTATTGGCTTATATGGAGATTACGAAGGCCGCGATTTCACGATATACCTCAAATACCGTGCACAACTTGGTATGAGATTCAGACCTTCGGGTTTGTAAATGCCAGTATCCTCGTCATAAAAATCAGAGACGTAAAGTTGAGAGAGAGGTGAATCTGAAGATGGCAGAAGAAATCAAAGCTGGTGGCGAGTCTTCCTAGTGGCAAGGTGACTGTAAACCTAATAGAACGCGTACTGTAACTGCTATCCTAGAGTCAGCAATGAATAAGGAAGAAGGGCAAGAAGAGCGCTTATCTGAACATCAGTTTTCCTAACTAATGATTTGTGACTGAAATGAACTTTATATCATATGATTTCTAGGGATACGCAGGTACTGTAGAGACGCTCACATAAATAGAGGTGGGCGATCCTCCCTCTGACTTTAAAACTGCGATAAGTTTATAGCGCAGACTAACTGGCACAGTTTGGAGCACTTCAGGGTCTCACTAGGCTCATCACATTAGAAACCTTCAGCAAACTAATCGTAGAAGTGGGTGGTTATCAGCAACGTGCACAGATCTCTGAAGGCGGGTCATCGCGAGAACCATTCCCAATCCGTCACAGACAGAACAAGAAAGCGAGATATTCTTGCTAAGAGGAAGGATGTATCAAGACGTTTCAGTCATTGGCTGCCATCCAAAAGCACCCTAACAAAGGCAAACACAGTGAAGCTGACAAAAAAATCCGCCTATGATAAGATCAAGAGAAAATGGACAAAGACCGGCTTGCCATTTTAAAGGGGGTGGCTACGTTCAAGGTCGGACCTCAGGTAAACTTCTGACGAAACATCCCTAACTAGCCAAATGGACTTTGCATGGGCTCTTAGGAAAACACAAAAACCAGCCACCTTTTCTCAGAAAGCAAAGAATTATCTCCTTGACATGAGCTGGACAGGGGAGGAAACTAGTAAGGCAACCGCCTCTAACAAGGCTGAAGATAAGGAGTGACCTTGCAAATTTAGACGAAGATTGCAGGAGAGGGTACAGCTGCTATTAAGCTAAAAAAAAAAAAGATCTTTGCATCTCACTTTTCAAAGTTGTCAAATATTTGGATGAATCGAAAAGTCTAAAAACTCAGTCGTTTATTTGCCTCTGTTGATTGACAAGCCGTCAATCAAATTGACTGATACTTGAGGTGGACATTAACTAAGGATCAAGAAAAACCGGGGGGTGGTGGTCTATATTCCCCGGAAAAACCAAAACAGAAACCAGTTTGTATTTTTTAGTTTTGGGGTAGATCCTTTAACCTGGCAAAGTTTCGTTGAAATCGGTGAGATGGAATGTAGCACGACTGCCCGGTGCTACATGCCATTTTTCTCGGATTTCTTCGACAATTTTTACCAACAGAATTCCAACCTACAGTTGATTTGAAAATGTATCTAAACACGTGAACTACACAAACATACTATTTTAATCACAGTGACAGTGGTAGAAATCTATAAAAGCAACCGAGCAAAACACCGAATGTACACACAAGGTTCATGCACAATTTAGTGAGTATTTTCATGGGACAACTACATGTTTCGAATATTTTATGTGTGCGAAGATTTGATCTAAATCACGCTCACGTATTTACAACAACATTTATAGTTACATGTAATTTACTCTAAAGTAATGCCAGTGGGATAGATTGTAAATTAAAGAACAATATATGCGACAGGCCAATTTCAGCTAATAACACGTCGACAGAGCTGGTATCTTTGTAAACAGCGATTTGTTTATTTAGCACTCGAGAAAAATCAACTCAAAAACTTTACCTGAAACGGTGGTTTGTTCACTTAACAAAGAAGGTAGGTTAATTTTTAAGTTAAAATTGATATATTTAAATGAATCAAAACTGAAGTAGAGACCAAACACGTCGAGTTTTGTCCCAATAGCGTGCGATTTGCAGTAGGAGTACAGCAATTAATGGCCTAACTCCGTGAAAATGCACGCTAGATATTTTGGTCTGGCGCGCTCGCTTTTCACGGGCCAAAAAATAATATTTTTACATGATAAGCACGAAGAATTTCTCGTGGAAAAGAGCTCTTTTATTTTATGTACATTTGTATACCCTCGATGTTATGGTCGTCTGAAATATAGTAAAATTCGGCGTACAAACGGAATAGAAAAGATAGTGTACTTTACGCGGGTGGTTACAAACGAAAGAAAGTTCAGTTGGAGATGAAATATAGTTGCAAAGCTACTCCAAGGGATGAAGAACAACTTATGAAAAAATGAATCCAAGATAATTTTTCATTGTCTCGTAGGAGCGTTGTGAAAATGCACTAAAAGCCCAATAGAAATTATGCAAATTAGGTAAGTTTTGGCCGATTTCGAACTTTCGTATTTTTTTTCCAAAATAAAAACTCGCTGGAACTTTTGAATATTATTTTTGAAAACGATTCACCAAAAGGGTCTTTTGGAACAAATTAAAAAAAAGTTGAATTTTTGCTTCTGTCACCGGATTCTCGAAAATTACTGACAACCCCTCTTAAAACTCACGCCATCCTCAGCTAATGAGACGCAAAATCACGACTCGATCACTCGCGTTATCACGCACTTCAGGTAAGTTGAGCTTGTTTCGGGATAAATGTTAATACCTGATAGCACACTTACCCCTCCCCTAACCCAAAAACAGTCAACTGATAACAAGTTAGGGTTACGTTAGGGGTGGGGTAGGTATGCAGTTGCTCAGATACTAACATTGATCCATGTTTTCTTTCAGGTCCAATTGACTGTCGTGGTTAATTTTGCTTTTGTTGTACTCAATCGAGAAAACCTTGGCACAAATGATTACTTGAAAAATCTGTTTGACAAACTTGAAGTAGGGACTAAGAGACAAAATTAATACAAACCATGAATGTTATTTCCTTCAATCAATCCTTTTCCTTCGCCGAATACATAAACTCCTACAAGAGACAAACGAGACCATTATGCCTTCGTAAGATTATCAATCAAGTCAAATAAAGGTAGCTTGGATTTAAAGAGAAATCTTGATTAAGTTCCCAGTTCACAACAATGGCGCTAAAGAAACATGATGGTGATTAACTTTTATTTACATGTTTTCAGTGCATTTATATCGAGTTTCGCAATGTTCATAATCATGTCAATTTCATGGTGTATTGATGAGCGCGATCACGGAAAAAAAAGCAGTAACGACAACAACAAAGCAATTCAGATATAAAAAGTTATGCTCACCTCCTTGTTGTCCATCGTAGATCTCGTTGTTTCTAAAATACAATAAATTAAAGGAGTTAGCAAGTTTACTCCGCACTTAAGCTGAAAATGAACCGTAATCTTGTCATGGAGAAGCTAGAAGCGAGATGGTAAACCTCTCAGACGGTAGAACGAAGAACTAACCATGCCGGAGTTTGTGCAGAGTTTGCAAAAAATAGCAAAATCACAGATTAAATAGTTGCTTTTCAAGAAATTGAGGTAATGCCAAATGCAGCCTGTGAGCATGCGCTCGTCATAAACACTTCGGGACGGGTGTTTCTTCACTCGTGGGATAGTCTATGAGGCATTGAGCAATGCAACTCAACTAGATTTCTGCCAAGGGTCTTGGACTGAAAATGCTCATCATTAGTGCCAGACCTCCGCCAAACCTCACCGATATTCGTCTCACATGTTCCCGCGAGCGGAGAAACGCGCAGTCTGCAGCGCTTTTACGAGGACCTTCTCGCAGGCCACGCCAAGTGCAGAAGGCACTTTCTACAAGGTGTACTCAGGATGAGTGCGCACCTCCTTTTCGACAAATTTTCCCCGGCATTATATATTGACAAGTTTTGCGTGAGAAGTTTCTTATTTAATCCAAAAGACGTGAAAGATTTCGAACAAGGAGACTCATGAAGAAATTTTGCAATTTAATAAACAGAAGAACACGAAAATCTTTCTTACTTTATGGTTGGATTGCTCTGTGACGTGATCCAAACTCCAGCCTATGTGTTAGAGTAGATCTTATTTTCCAGGAATTCACCACGTGCCTGTTAGTTAAATACACCATTAAGTTTTTAAAACACACAAATATATTTGCAATGTAAATGAAACAAAGTGTACTTACATCGTCATGACAGTATATGCCACCCGTCATACCGTGGTGTATTTTACATCCCACGACTGTTGGATTGGCGTGAGACCGAATCTCAAACCCAGCTATACGGTTGTTGTAAACATCGTTTCCTTCATAGTAGCCCTACAATTACACGAATTATTTTATTGGTCTGTAGTGTGACAAGAAGCGGCCTTTTAAAACGGCCGAGGGTTAAGAATTACTTGAGGCGCCTCCAGGAGCAACCCTAGATTCTTTAATGAAAGCTTTAAATACAAGTACTTCAATTTTTGTCAGAGTTCTCAGCTTGGCTGGGTCATTGCAGTAAGGTCCTGGTGCCTACTCTTACATGGTCTTTTCCACTCAGTAGTATTGATGAAGACCAAGCAAACTGTCTGGAAAACTCGGCAAAATGTTTTAGCGGGGGTCTCCAATACGATATCGTAACGGGTAAGTCATGAATGATTTTGTCAATTCATTTTCTGCTCTGCTGTACAACGAAAAATCTTTGGTACGAAATTTCATGTCTTTTGATAACCCACACTTATGTAAACTACATGGACTAGTTATTCAAACAAAGTTCAGACGTTGTTTTATAAAACCACGTTCTTAGCTATCTTCAATTTAGCCAAAAGAGGGTCGAAAGATAATAGTGGAAGGACATTTAATTAATTTAATCAACCCCCCTATAGGGAAGACCTGAGGCCCACTGCTTACGTAAAACCGCGGCTTGAGTTAGACCACGGGACGGGGTGAATAACCGGCCCCATAAGTTTTCATCAAGGAAAGGGGTTCAAGAATTTGCTGTAAATTGTGGATTATTTCTCACCTGCGCATCATCTGTGATGAAAATGCCAACATTTTCAGAGTCTGAGATAAAACATTTTTGACAAAGTGGGTCTGGCTCCTCTTCCATGTACATAAAATGTGGCACCAGCTATGAACAAAAATAAAATCAACTGTCCACTGATCCCCACATATTACTGACATTACCACAAGTTTGTTTGAACTTTTAAAAAACCAAAAATTATAAATATGATGTCTAATGTCTCTCTCTTACCACTAGCAAGGCTATTAAGCTTGCATAAAGGGGTAAGTTTCTAAAGAAACTGTGGTGCTGCGTCGGTGGGAGAGTATAGCAGGTAATTTAGTGTTAACAACTGGGTTGAAAACGTAAATTAGCCACCGTAAAGGGTAAAGAAGCTGACGTTTCGAGCGTTAGCCCTTCGTCAGAGCGATTAGAGGAATTGTGGGTTGTGTGTGGATTTATATGTAGGAAGTGGAGCTACGCCATTGGTGGGAATGTGGTGACGAGAAAACAGGAATAAATTAGTTGAATGAAAAGCGCTCGTTGATTCCGTGGGGATTAAGGGTGCCGATTTGGAATATAAATTTTTGTTCTAGTGTTTTACGGCTTTCCGAACTGCCTAGATGTAAGGAAAGGCCGCAAACTGCCATATGCTGTTTAGAATGATAAGGAAGATTAAAGTGTCTAGCGACTGGTTTGGATGCGTCCTTGTCATTTCTTTCCACATCGCGAAGGTGTTCTCGGAATCGGTCACCCAGTCGTCTTCCTGTTTCGCCGATGTATAACTTATTGCAATTAGTGCAAGTTATGCAGTAAATAACATTGGCGGAGGTACACGTAAAGTGATCAATGACACCTCCTTTTATGCCAAAGTCGACAAAGACCTCACTGTAATTAACCAAAACATTGTCAAAAATACGATTAACGATCTTATAGCTAAACAAGAATTGCCGGCCACTGCTAAAAATCTCATCATTACTACTCCTAGAACTTCATGTATTTACTTTTTACCTAAAATCCACAAACCTAACAACCCAGGTCGACCCATCGTTTCTGCCTGCAATTGTCCCACTGAACTTATTTCCAGCTATTTAGACAAAATTATGGCACCTATCGTCAAAACTCTACCGTCTTACATTAAGGACAGCCAACACGCACTTGAAATTTTTCGTGACTTTAGTTTCCTCGACCAAAACAAACTTATTTTCACCATGGATGTAACATCTCTTTACACTGTCATTCCCAATGACGAAGGTCTCCGGGCCCTCAAACATTTTTTTGATCTACGCACTGTTAAAGAACCTAGCTCTGAAACACTGCTCCGTCTGGCCGAACTAGTACTCACACTCAATTGTTTTTCATTCGGTGGTAACTACTACAAACAAACTAATGGCGTGGCCATGGGTACTAAAATGGGACCCAGCTACGCCAATCTTTTTGTAGGTTTTATCGAACACCAATTTTTTAGCCAATACCACGGCCCAAAACCTCAACTCTACGGCCGCTACATTGACGATTGCATCGGCGCTACCTCCTCTACCAAGGAGGAGCTCACTCAATTTATAACCGCCGTCAATTCCTTTCATCCGGTTCTTAAATATACCTGGTAAATTTCCGACACTTCTTTGGCTTTTCTAGACATCAAAATTTCAATTGAAGGCAACCGCTTATGTACTAGTGTTTACTACAAACCAACAGATACACATAGTTACTTGTTGTATTCATCCTCACATCCATCACACGTCAAGAACTCCATACCTTTTTCACAGTTTCTCAGACTTCGTCGTTTATGTATTGACGACTCTGATTTTTCCGAAAAATCAGAGGCAATGTGCCAGTTTTTCGATAAACGCGGCTATCCTGTTTCTGTCGTTCAAGCGGGCTACCACCGTGCCCAACTAATCGATCGACAGGCAGCACTACAAATGGCCGAGAAGGAGAATACTGACCGCATTCCATTTACTCTTACATTTCACCCTCACAACCACGCAGTTAAATCTATCATTCTTAAAAATTTTAAATTACTCCAAAACGATTCAGAGACTGGCACTATCTTTTCGCAACCCCCACTTATTTCATTCAAACGCGACAAAAACATAGGCAACTTTTTAGTCAGGAGTTCATTTCTAACCTATTACCAATCTGGAACTTTTAAATGCGCTCGCTCACGATGCAAAACTTGTCCTTTCATTCATAACGTAGAGAAAATAACGGGACCCAAAAGATCCATTAAGATCATTGATCACTTTACGTGTACCTCCGCCAATGTTATTTACTGCATAACTTGCACTTATTGCAATAAGCTATACATCGGCGAAACAGGAAGACGACTGGGTGACCGATTCCGAGAACACCTTCGCGATGTGGAAAGAAATGACAAGGACGCATCCAAACCAGTCGCTAGACACTTTTATCTTCCTTATCATTCTAAACAGCATATGGCAGTTTGCGGCCTTTCCTTACATCTAGGCAGTTCGGAAAGCCGTAAAACACTAGAACAAAAATTTATATTCCAAATCGGCACCCTTAATCCCCACGGAATCAACGAGCGCTTTTCATTCAACTAATTTATTCCTGTTTTCTCGTCACCACATTCCCACCAATGGCGTAGCTCCACTTCCTACATATAAATCCACACACAACCCACAATTCCTCTAATCGCTCTGACGAAGGGCTAACGCTCGAAACGTCAGCTTCTTTACCCTTTACGGTGGCTAATTTACGTTTTCAACCCAGTTGTTAACACTTAATTACCTGCTATTAAGCTTGCAGTTGTAGATTGTAGGACCACATTCATCAATAACCTCCACACATTCTGATCTGATCACCTCAGATTCACCGTTTGGGCAATTCTGCGAAAAAGGAAGTCCATCGAAATAAAAAAAGGGGGGGTAAGTTTTCCAAGAAACAGCGAGAGGTCTCCAAGGGGTCTGGCACTGATCATTCTTAGAACCAGACCCCCAGAAACCTCTCCCGACTAGTCTCAAGCGGGTAAAGAAATACGCGTACTGCAGTGCTATCAATTTTTGCGCTAATTTTTTTTAGGTTACTATCAACAAAATCTGGTCAAAATGTTAAAAATTGCTACTTTGCTATTCAGTTTGAATTGCCAAAAAAAATGTAAAATCTTATAAAGAACGTGAGATACGGCTAAAAGACCTTTTTTCGCGGGCTTTCGTCTGGGATCTCGATTTGCACATTTTGTTAACATCGCGTCTTGCACTGCACAACAAAAGGGAATTTGTTGCATATTTCGCAAAACGTCAGGAAATAAGGGTCTTTATCAAACGGCCAAGATGAGAAAAGTCGCGAGAGAGCCCTGGCCAAATAAATCCAAGTTGCGTTTTTCTTTTTTCCTAGCTTGCTTTGCGCACTTTTCCTTCTGCTTTTTTTTGATGAATTTTGGATTTCATTTTAATTCGTGTTCCCAGTTTCGAAAAATGACCTTTCCCGCGAGTTTTCAAAGGAGTTCTTTTTCACGAGACTTGCCAGGGGGTTCGATGTTGTGTTTCATTGGTCGGCGGCATGACCACGCTTAAATGAGGGGCCAAAACTGTGAATATCTTAGCAGCCCAAAAATTCGGTTTCTTTTTACGCGAGTTACCTCTACTTACACGAATCAACAAGGGGTGTAGATTTGATGGATTTTCATGAAAATTAGCCAGTGTTCGTCAGATATAAACGCTCAAAAGAGTTGAGTTTAAAGGCTCGCGCCTTTGATTTTACCAAAATCAAAACTTTGAAAAATTGTGTTACTTCTGCAATCTATACTTAAAAAGCTTTACATGGTTTCTTTAAAAGTAGCGCGCGTTTGACGATTTTTCCGTAAGGTTCCCTGTTGTGTTGACATTACCCCTTGAAGCAGTTTTCTGTACATACCTTCAAGGTGACATGCCCTAAGGGATTGCCTGAACCAGCACTGAAACTGACAACTGTTGAAGAGTTACATTGAATGACGACAAGACCATCTTCGCTCTTAGCTGTAGATAAAAAAAGAGGCCATCCTGTGAGCAAGTTGCTCATTTTTGGTTAAAATTTTAACTGAAACTTAACTTTTCATGATGTCAAGTGTCTGTCTTAGGATGTGGACATGAAAAACAGTTATTCATCATAAATGTATCATGACAAGCATGATCCAGATTCAGAACCTTGCATTGGAAGACACTTCATGCCTTCCTTCAAAATCCAAGTTATACACCCTGGGTCTTAAAGATGTCACACGCAGGTTTGGATGAGCCCAATGAGGAAAAATGGAAAAAGAATCAAACAACAAAATGGAAAGGGGGGAGCAAGTAGTGACAGTTGTCATGAAAATCCCTTATCGTTGATGATGAAAGACACACACTTAGTCTAGAGAGGCCCCTTATATGCAAACTGGGGAGCTAAGGGGGGAGGGGAGGAGGGCAGTGTGAAACCCACAAGACGTATGTTTCCTTTCCCTACATTGACAGTGGCTGCCTGCAAATTCCCTCTAAAAGTAATCAGAGAACAGTCTTGGATTGGCAAGTCAGAGGGAAGTTCAAATGATGAATTAAAATGCAGCTCTAACTGATGACAGACTTTTCATTGCAAGTTAAAGATCAACGTAGAGACCACCGGAGATGGCGCTTTAATTAATGACACACTTTCATTGCAAGTTAAAGATTAATTTAGAGACCACTTAAGGGAAATATGAAACATTTAATAAGGTTCTAGAAATAATTTAGTAACATTGTGGTGTACCTGCTCCAATGATTGCAACAGGCTTGCTGATTGACAGCTGTTCATCATACACATCACTGTGTACAATTATGATGTCATCATCTTGCACAGCATCCAAAGCTTCTCTGATTGTTTCATGATACTAAAAACAGAGAGAGTATAAAATATGCAGTTTGTCAACTTAGTTATACCTCCATAAACCATCTGTTGTGTGATCATTGGCTCTTAACTCTCAAAAAATAAAAATAAGGGACACTGTAAAAACTTTCTGCATCACCCAACAGTGCACACAAGAAAATTCATGTAGATTTTACTGGATTCTAGGAGCACTATGAAAATTATTCTGACTGAATGAATTGCTAATAAAAAAAATTTGTTCTTGGCAACTCAAATGATCAAAGAGGAAAAATTTTTAAACCACTGGGTAAAAAATGCCAAATACAGTAGTGACTAATGAAAAAAGTTTGAAACATATATTTTTTAATTGTTGTATAACATATCTAATAAAAAGGTTGCATTTTACCATGTCTGTATCTTTTCAATTAAAAATTGTAAGATGCCACAAATGTGGTAAAAACATCATGGAATTTCAATCACCTGAAGCTTGTGTACCTCTTTAATGAAATGTTCTGATCACAATTTAATACCATTTGTAATTGACAACAACCAGTAAACATACGCAGTAATAAGAAATCTTTGGGTTAACCAAATTATAGTCAGCAGCTAAGTGACAGCTGTTTTCACACCTTTATCAATCACCTGACATCTTAATAACACCCTTAACACTTTGACCCTTAACACTTTGCCCCTTAAGAGTGACCAGCATCTAATTTCTCCATACAATATCACCCTCAAATCACAAATTAAGGTCATGAGAATAAATTAAATGATCACCAGCTAAGCAAGCACTTGATTGTTAAAAAAGTTCTCCTTGTCAGCACAGGATGAAATGTATAGAGGACAGTATGGAGAATATGCATGCTGATGTTAGGGTGTAAAGGGTTAATACCCCCCCTGCTCATTCTGTTTTGGTCACTCCTTGGAGTTAAAGGGTTAATTTATTTTGGGTCAATTAGAGAATCAATGGAAGTATGAAGAGGCCATTTTTAAGGTTACTGATGAAACTATATATCGTTACTCTGTTAAAAGGAATATTTTTGATGATTTGCAAATTCAAGATGAATTTTATTGCCAAGAGTCAATTTCTAAAGTGCACAGAGCTAGAGAAACAAAATGATAAAAAAATTCATATGTGCACAACAAATATTCCCAGCAGTTACACAAAGCTTCTCAACAGAGCAGGTAAAAACATTGAAGTGCCTGTCACCCTTAATATTACTCTATCTTCTTCTCTGAACCCTCTGACTCCCATGGGTGACTGAGACATAATTCTCCTCACAATATTGACTATCATGGGTGACTGACACATAATTCTCCTCACAATATTGACTCTCATGGGTGACTGAGACATAATTCTCCTCACAATATTGACTCTCATGGGTGACTGAGACATAATTCTCCTCACAATATTGACTATCATGGGTGACTGACACATAATTCTCCTTACAATATTGACTGTCATGGGTGACTGAGACATAATTCTCCTTACAATATTGACTGTCATGGGTGACTGAGACATAATTCTCCTCACAATATTGACTCTCATGGGTGACTGAGACATAATTCTACTTACAATATTGACTCCCATGGGTGACTGACACATAATTCTCCTTACAATATTGACTGTCATGGGTGACTGAGACATAATTCTCCTTACAATATTGACTGTCATGGGTGACTGAGACATAATTCTCCTTACAATATTGACTCTCATGGGTGACTGAGACATAATTCTACTTACAATATTGACTCTCATGGGTGACTGAGACATAATTCTCCTCACAATATTGACTGTCATGGGTGACTGAGACATAATTCTCCTCACAATATTGACTCTCATGGGTGACTGACACATAATTCTAATTACAATATTGACTCCCATGGGTGACTGAGACATAATTCTCCTTACAATATTGACTATCATGGGTGACTGAGACATAATTCTCCTTACAATATTGACTCCCATGGGTGACTGAGACATAATTCTACTTACAATATTGACTCTCATGGGTGACTGACACATAATTCTCCTCACAATATTGACTGTCATGGGTGACTGAGACATAATTCTCCTCACAATATTGACTCTCATGGGTGACTGACACATAATTCTAATTACAATATTGACTCCCATGGGTGACTGAGACATAATTCTCCTTACAATATTGACTATCATGGGTGACTGAGACATAATTCTCCTTACAATACTGACTATCATGGGTGACTGAGACATAATTCTCCTCACAATATTGACTCTCATGGGTGACTGAGACATAATTCTCCTTACAATACTGACTATCATGGGTGACTGAGACATAATTCTCCTTACAATATTGACTCCCATGGGTGACTGAGACATAATTCTACTTACAATATTGACTCTCATGGGTGACTGACACATAATTCTCCTCACAATATTGACTGTCATGGGTGACTGAGACATAATTCTCCTCACAATATTGACTCTCATGGGTGACTGAGACATAATTCTCCTTACAATATCAATTTAACATCAAGCAAACAAGTGATGAGAATAAAGAAAACCCAAAGAAGTTCCAATCCTTATCCATCCATTCAAGAAATATCAATGCCACCAATAGTGAGAGAGCTCTGAACATTGACAACCAGAAAATCAAGAAAATGGAACAAATTAAATTGCTAGGTGTCTACACCAACGAAAATCTTAGCTTAGCAGATCATATCAGCAACCTATGCACTAGAGCTCGCAGAAATGTAGGAGTACCAGTGCATGTGTGAAATCTTATTCCATGTAACGCTAATTTAACATCATACAATAGTGCCATATTACCACATCTAACTTACTGGCACCTTGTATGTAATTTTTGCAAGTCATCCGAAAGTAGGAAGATTGTGCGGGTACAGGAGGGTGTACTATGAGCAATATATAAATCAAAGGTGGAAACATACAAAGAACTCCTTGCTTGTGCTAAGCTACCAACCCTATAAAAGAGACATCTACAAGATACTCCCACTCTGATGTATAAGGTTAAAAACAATCTTGTTCCAAGCTGCCTATCACAACTATTCAAAACTAAGAAGTCGCAATACTACCTGGTGTTGGGCTACAGACTCTATACAACAGACATCTACAAGATACTCCCACTCTGATATATAAGGTTAAAAACAATCTTGTTCCAAGCTGCCTATCACAACTATTCAAAACTAAGAACTTTCCATACTGCCTCAGAAACTGGGCCTTTGAAATACCTTGTTTTAACACTACAGGTTATGGTAAACACACAATAAGATACCAGGGTCCATATATTTGGTTGAAACTTAGCAAGGAATTAAGGACGACACCAACCCTTGAGATATTCAAGACCAGAATAAGAAAAATTGACCTTTCAGACTTTATTGACAACTAAAGCAGTTACTGCAAACTATGTAAATCGTAAACAGAACAGTTTTATATCATTTCATAGAATTTATCACTATGCTGTCAACAAGTATTTTAAACATTTACCTATTAATTTTTGTACACTAGCTATTGACTATATTTAGGTGTCCCCAATTAGCTAATCTACAGCTAAAAGCATTGACTCTTAATAAAGTTTTCATTCATTCATTCAAAAACCTCAATCAGGGGAATAATTATAGTTAATCCAACACCAAATTCTCCTAACTGACATCATAAGAATTGTATGGCAGACAGTAATGAGAATTACTACAGAGATCATGGGAGTAAACGACTTAAAACTGCACACGTGTAAAATTACGATAACTTTCTACATGTCTTTGATATCACCAATCAGCTGCTAACACATCACTCTCTTTCCCGTCAATGACTCTTTTAGGTTGAAGAATACACGGCGAAGTGTTCGCCACGCGTCACTCATCCGCAAAGTATCCTATTCTTGTCAGTAAAGGCCTATATAATTTATTTCATAAACAAAATAATACATGGTTGCTTGTAGATATAGAATTTCTCTTCTTTTCTTTTGTTCAACGAGATATCTCACTCTTTCACTGCATTCACTCGGAAGATATCAAGTAGAATACTTGAAGAGAAATTCCACATCAACGAACGCCCATGTAGTATTCTCTATTCAATCACAGTATCACTCTTATTCTCCTTAGGATTGTTATCATTACCTGTACCATTGTTACAGTTGTCATTGTTATAACTATTATCATTGTTACAACAATAACTATTATCAAAGATATGACATCTACACTGCATATTTTCAACAAATTTTCACTATGGCATAAGTGAAATATTTAATTAAAAAGGTGGTTGTATAAATGCAAGGCTGTCGTTAAGAGCTACAACTCCTTACAACTACAGCTGGAAGATTCCCCAAGACCCTACAAGTCAAGATCCGTGTTTTGACTGACCTGAGCCTCAAAGGTCGCAAAGTATCATGTGAATAGCGTAGAGTCAAATCAAAAAGGTTCTTTAGAAATTAATCTTTTAACTTCCAGAATTGATTAACATGGCCAACTTCCCCCTTAAATATCCATAAATCAAGCCAACACACAGGTTTTCAGAATACTCAAACATATCAGGTACTGTAGAAAATGCTATCTTGATCTAACAAAATTCCCATAACTAATTTTCGAGGGAAAGTGTAGCATTAAAGAAGGGAATTAAAAGTTGCATCTTTAGGGTTAAAAAAATTTTGTCTTTTGTTTTTTTGATGCATTTAGTGTCTTTGAACTAATTTAAGTTCCCACACACTATCAGTTAGTTATCAGCTATAAGAATCTGTGGCTCTCTTTAACCCTTACCCTCTTAAGAGTAACTGGTTTCTAATTTCTGCATACAGTATCCTTCTTGAATAAAATGTAAAGTTCATGTGAATAAGGAAATTATCTGCAATTTAAGAAGCTCTTGATGGTCAAACAAATTCTCCTTGCCAGTACCATAGGAAATGTATAGAGAAAAATGTAGAGAATATGCATACTAATGTTAGGGTGTAAACA